CTAAAAATCCCAGTATCTTTCCCGCCATTTGTAAACGCTATAACTTTCACGTAAACCAATTAATTTACATGTATTTGGTTTTTTTTTTTAGCAAAGACATGTTGCAGAATGCATTTTGGCAGAAATTTATGACTAAACTTGATTTTTGCATTTTTTTACTGGACATGTTTTATAGCAAAAAGTACGAAATATTGTTTTTTTTTCCTCAAAATTGTCAGCCTTTTTTTTTATAGCGCAAAAAAAAAATAAAAACTGCACAGGCAATCAAATACCACCAAAAGAAAGCTCAATTTATGGGGAAAAAAAGGAAGTGAATTTCATTTATGTACCGTATTGCATGACCTCGCAATTGTCCGTTAAACTAGCGCAGCGCTGTATAGCAGAAAAATGGCGTAAATTGCAGTATTTATACCATAGTTTGTAGACGCTATAACTTCCACACAAAGCAATCAATATACATTAATTGGGATTTTTTTTACCAAAAACATGTAGCAGAATACATTTTGGCCTAAATTTATAACTAACTTTGAGTTTACTATATATTTTTTATAGCTGAAATTAAAAAATATTGTTTTTCTTCAAAATGTTTGGCTTTTTTTTTGTTTATAGCGTAAAAAATAAAAAGCGCACAGGTGATCAAATTACACCGAAAGAAAGCTCTATTTGTGTGAAAAAAAGGACATAAATTTTGTTTGGGTGCAGCATTGCATGACCGCGCAATTATCAGTTGAATTAGTGCAGCGCCGAGTAGCAAAAAGAGGCCTGGTCATTAAGGGGGGTAAATCCTCTGGAAGTCAAGTGGTTAAAGAGCCGTTACTGTCAGCTTCATAACCAGCAAGCTAAGCAGCTAGCCGTGATCGTATAGTGGTTAGTACTCTGCGTTGTGGCCGCAGCAACCCCGGTTCGAATCCGGGTCACGGCAGTTTTAGTTAGCCAATGCTCTATTTTTCTTCCTCCCAACAAAAGATTAGCAGTTATTGACTGTTAGAGTTAATTCATTTATTGACGTAAAACTTTTTCACAGTTAGTACAGTGCGCCTCTAAACTAACCCCAATGTGATCTGTCTACATCATTTCCTTCACCAGAATCTCATTATTGGTAACAAATATATTTGCTTGGACCTTTTTGTAGTGAAGGGACTGAGTTATCTAGTCTTTCAGATTACAAATATATAAGTGTTAAGAAATTGTGCGCTGCCAAATAATTAAATAAATAGTGAAACAATTGTGAATACGAGCTGCTGCAAACACATAAAGTGTGTGTTCATCACATGTGAAATAATAAACCAGTGTGTAGTGCTGCGATCTTCAAAAACACTAAACATAAACATAACATACATATAAATCCAAAAAACATGTAAAAAAACTCAATATAAGTCCAAAAGAAGGAAAATCTCTTCAACAATGTTAGTGGGAAGAACGGATTCCTACTGGAGAGTAGGCCCACTATCCTGGTGCAGTAAATCTATAAATGATGTGCATCACCATGGTGACCATATGAAATAGGTGGACCCTCACCTTCACATATGGACCAGTATAGAAAACAGGTCAAACAGGCATCTCCTGGGGTGAAATGGTGGCCTCTCCTCTATGGATAATCCACCTTTCATATATGGTCACTGTATCCTCCAAGTAAACAGAGCCAGCTATACCGTTAAAGGGTTTACTTGGAGGATACAGTGACCATAAATGCTTATTGTTATGTTTCCTGCAGCAGAATGGATAGATATACAACATCATTATTATTATTATTATACAGGATTTATATAGCGCCGACAGTTTGCTCAGCGCTTTACATTATGGTGGGAGACAGTACACAAGACAGTACAATAACAATACAATTCAATACACGAGGGATTACAGGGGCCCTGCTCCTTGGAGCTTACAATCTAGGAGGGAGGGGATAGTGGAACAGCAGGAAATAGCTGTGGGGGATGGAGTGGTAGGAAGAGTGGAGGAGTTCAGTAATTAACTGAGGACGGGGTAGGCTTCTCTAAAGAGATAGGTTTTCAGGGTGCACCTAAAGGTGAGCAGAGTAGGTGATAGGCTGGTGGATTGGGGTAGGGAGTTCCAGAGGATGGGGGAAGCCCTGAAGAAGTCCTGGAGACGAGCATGGGAGGAGGAGACCAGGGAGCTAGAGAGTAGGAGTTCTTGTGAGGAGCGGAGAGTACGTTTTGGGTGGTATTTAGAGACAAGATCGGTGATGTAGTTTGGGGCAGTATTATGAACAGCTTTATACGTCAGTGTTAGCGTTTTAAATTTTATCCGTTGGGCAATCGAGAGCCAGTGGAGGGATTGGCAGAGAGGGGTGGCAGACACGGAGCGGTTAGTAAGGTGGTCTTGAATCATGAATAGACCCTTCGGTTGAGGTATTATTTCCCACCCCATCATCAGTTTTTATTTAAAGCCATAACCAGTAACTGTGCTAGTCTTTATTCCAAACAGGCCGGGGTTTCCGAAGCTTCTAGATCTCAGCATGGAAGTATCCCTTGAAGATCCCACTATAATCAAGTCTGCTCTCCCAAAAACAGTTTTTTTTTTATACCTGCACACAGAAGTTTGACCTTATAGCAAAGAGAGGAGGACATTAACCAGTATGGGATATTCTGAAGGTGTCATTGACACTTTCCTAAAATAAAGTAAGACATCAACCAATGCAACATATTACAGAATATGGCTACATTTACTAGAGTTTATCAAAAACAAACTCTAATGAGCGCAAGAAATTACCCATTATAGGATGTTCCAAAAGAGTCGTTGAGACTCTGCTTAAATCAAGGAAGACGTCAAACAACGCAACATATCACAGAATACAGTCCTGATGGCAAATAGATTGAGAGGAGGAAACTAACCAGTATGGGATGTTCCAAAGGTGTCAATGAGACTTTCCTATAGTCAAGTAAGACATCCACTAATGCAACATATTACTGAATATGGCTACATTTTCTACTCATTTAATTCTTTCAGTATGAGAGTAAATCAACTTTTCGACTTTTCCCATTCTGGTCTATGCCAAGGACTAGCTCTTTAAGAGTTCAAGTATCAGCCATCTGGGTGCCATTTGGCACACAGACAGAGATCTTGCACCCTTTAAAAAGATTTAGGTGTTGATCACTGAGAGGAAAAGTCAAGGAGCAACATCAAGAACCATTTCTGCCTGGCAAGTTAAAACCATGATGAATTCTTACAGGTTAAAAGACCTACCAGTTCTGGAAGCAATCCTGAGTGCACCCCACCAGGGGCATGACTACACTATGGGCAGCAACATGGTTCATGGTACACACCTTTATGAGCCCTGTCAGGTTAGTTCCAGCCTGTTTTACCATTCTTGATTTTTGAAAGGTCAGTTCTAGATAATTCTACACGTAATAAAAATTCAGGGAACTGTATCCCTTCATTTCTGTCTGATATTTAAATCCCATTGTATACTGACATGAAGCACCAGGAAGATGGGCAATATCTTAGGTATATAACCCTAAGTCTTCCTTTCCTGGTGAAGGTTTGAACATTGCATTCTGATCCTACAGAAATTCTTCAGAATGAAAACACAAATGTTTATGTACACTTACACATATGCATGATCCAATTAAACTGATGGGGGGTCCAGTGAGCTGAATATAGCTAGATTTCCAAAGTACAATGAATCCATCAATGACCAATCCCAGGGCATTTTCTCTCTAAAGAATGCTGCTCTGTCCAGAAGTTCTCTGAGCTCAAGCCTGGTTGATGATGCACCGACAGGGTGCCTGGGCTCACATGAAGTGGGTTGGATGATGCTGGGTGTCATTTAACCTAGAAAAACAGATTCACATTGTCTGCTGCTTCTGATGTTTTTGCAATCTTATCCTCTCTTTTCATCCTTGATCACCTTCTGTTGTAATGAAGAAAAAGAGACTTTCTATGTGCCTCATCCAAAATATATAGAACAAAGGTAGAAGCTGGTTAACGATAACCAGCCTATCTCTGATAGAGGACTATATAAGCACAGCATAAGAGACCAGTCAAAGTTCCAAAACACATCAAATTTATTATACATTTCTATGTAAAACATTATTAAAAACAGCATAGAGCTCTCTCTACACAGTGGGGGCAAAAGCCCACGATATAAATCTGAATAGCTCTGGAAGCTGACTTAACCACATGTAAAGAATAGAATATTGAGAGTCCTCTTTAGTACTGTTTTACATATCTTCGACATATGATGGCCTTCCTTCCTCTTGGTCTTTGACCATCAGGCCGATATGTTGACATCCATTCTTTTATATTGTAAAGCTCTGAGCAAACTATTGGTGCTATATAAATCCTGTATAATAATAATAGTAGATGGTTTGTATATTTTACACTTTCTAGCACCCTCCTTTACTATTGTAGGCTATTGTGCTACATATCTTTCATGTGTTTACACATTTAGATTTCTGTCCTGACTGCCTCCCTTTCTCCTGGGTGGGTTTGTTGGGTCCCTGATGCCCCTGTGCCTACCCTGGGACCGTTGATTGAGTGCCCTGCCATATAGATCAGACTGTGTGAGCATGCATTTTTTCGTCTACTGTGATTTGTTTATTATTTTTATAATTTTGTATGATAACTAATATGTTGTTGTTTTACATAGTTATGCCCTCATCATTTACCCGGGTCCTGAAGAAGCAGAACACTGGCGAAACGTGTTGACCTTCACACACTGGAAGAATGCAATGTATCCATATTGGACTTTCACCATTCTATTCTTTACATGTGGTTGAGTCAGCTTCCAGAGTTATTCAGATTTATATGGAGGGCTTTTCCCCATTGTATAGGGGAGCTTTATGCTGTTTGTAATCATCTTTATATAGAATTGTATAATAAAATTGATGTTTTACAGAATTTTGACTGGTCTCTTATGCTGCGCTTATACAGTCCTGTGTTTGAGGTAGCCTCGTTATTATTAAGGGTGGCTCCTTGGCTTGAAGGGTCCTACAGAGCCTTATCAAAGGCACAGGTAACTGGATAGCAGCAGGCGCATTAAGACACACCTGAAAACCTCTGAAAGTGGCTTTTCATGGGCTACATGTCTGTATTGGGGCCAGGGGGTGGACTGACAATTCATGGGGCCCCTGGGCAATAGGGGATTATGGGGCCCCTGTGTCCTTGGCCAAACTCAAAAAAGCCTATGAAAAAGGTACCAGGGGCATCTCATGGGGCTCCCTACTGACCCCGGGCCCTCGGGCAGTGCCCGAGTTTACAGATGGTCAGTCCGCCCCTGATTGGGGCTATGAATTATGGGATGAGTTTACTGCTATAAAGTGATGAGTGTGCACTCCTCAACCGGAAGTTTGATATATTTGTGCCTAAATCTAGTGGTTGAAAGTGAAAACTATACTTGAAAAGGAACACTCTGTTACACGATTTCGACAAATTGGATTGGTAAAGACCTGTCTGACATTGGCCTTAGTACAGATTATTCACTAACTCACCTCTAGATTGACTGTATGGCACAAAAGCATTATGGTGTCCATGGGATATCCTCAACTTCCTACAAATAATAGGATCTATAACTGCATAAATCAATTTATTATAAATGACGTTGGCATAGAGTAATGAAGATCTAAGCAGGATACCAAAAAATGACAACATGCGCAGTGATAACTAGATGATCATGATTATTTCATCTATTGTGTAGTGACCGACAACATTTTTGGGAATAGCTGTATGTCTCAAGACAAAGGTTTATGCTATCTTCTGTAACAAGACTCCAAATCGCGGGATGCCCAAAAACAGTTCCAGAACCATTTTTGGTTGTCATGCACCCCACGATTTTGTTTGAGCAATCGCAGCGCATTTGTTGCATGGGAAAATGCGCTGCGATCGCAGCAAACATGCCCTGTGTTTTCAGGTGCCATTGAAATGAATGGCACCTGAACACGCGAATGTACGTTTTCACATTCATACAGCACATTTTCGAATCTTGGGGCAAAAACGCTGGGATTCCGCCCATGATTTGAAACACCCTAGTGAGAATGGAGCCTAATGCAGGCCATAGACGGGTCAAAAAATGGCCGTTTTTTTTTTTTTTAAAAAAAAAGAAAAATCGGTCGTTCAATAAGCCGACATTACCACCAAAGGTAAAAATTGGCCGATTTTCGTCCCGTCTACGGCCGGCATTTAATGATTTCTGTCCCTTGCAGAGAGCTCCGCTATTATATTTGACATGAAAAAGTATTGCGGTTGCAACAATGTATCCATTTGTATCCATTTCGGATACAGATGTTTTTATTCGGATACAAATAGATACATTGTTGCAACCGCAATACTTTTTTATGTCAAATATAATAGCGGACTGGAATTCTTATTGTTTTTTTCTTCTTCTTCTTCTTCTCTTTTTCTTCTTCTTTTTCTTCTTCTTCCTCTTCTTCTTTTCTTCCTCTTCTTTTTCTTCTTCTTCTTGCAGGCCACGGCTCATGCGCAGATTTTTTAATCGGTAAAAAGATCAGCTGATTTGCCCATCATTGCTGGGAAAATTGGCCGATCGGCAAAATCAGCCGATTTTTTTCCAACTTCACCGATAAAAAATATGTGCCAAAACCCCGAAAAACGGTCAACTAATTAACCTAATAACGGTGCGAAAATCGGCAGATTTTTTTTTTCGGCCGAAAAATCTGCAGATTTTCGACCCGTCTATGGCCTGCATTAGAGGTGCTTTTGAGAAGAAAAAAAATTCAAAATACTAATATCAACTTACAAAGCCATCCACAACTCTGCCCCCAGCTACATCACCAGCCTGGTCTTAAAATATCAGCCAAACCGCTCTCTTCGATCCTCCCAAGACCTTCTGCTCTCTAGTTCCCGTGTCACCTCCTCCCATGCTCGCCTCCAGGACTTCTCCTGAGCTTCTCCCAACGTATGGAACTCCCTACCCCAATCTGTCCGGCTGTCTCCTAATCTATCCACCTTTAGACGATCCCTGAAAACCTTTCTCTATAAAGAAGCCTACCCTGCTTCTACCTAGTAAACTGTTATTTATTTCCTCCATCAGCTCATCCCCCACTGCTATTACCTTTTGTATCACTGAATCCTTCCTCCTAGATTGTGAGGTCTAACGAGCCGAGTCCTCTGTTTCCTCTTGTACCACATTGTATTGTAACTGTAATGTTTACCTTCATTTTGTAAAGCGCTGCTCAGACTTTGCTAAAAAACATACGACTTATGTTCATAAGTAGTGGCTCAAACACTGAAATGCTCACCTGAACTTGAGGCTGCCATCTATATCAGATCTCCCATATGGTCTAGCGGTTAGGATTCCTGGTTTTCACCCAGGCGGCCCGGGTTCGACTCCCGGTATGGGAAGAGCAGAATTTTTTCTCCAATTACTTTAATTATTCACTTTTTTTATTATGTACATATTCTTATGCTCATTAAAATGTATAATTCCTTTGAGATCAGTCATCTATAAGTCATGGTGTTAACGCTCTGATGATTTATTTCAAATTGTGTTTCTGAGAAAAAAAAAGGAAAGAAATAATGAAGGTATGTCAAGTGTAGGAGAATGCAGTTTCCGTTTACATTACATTTACCAGTAAGAAATATGTGTAAAGGTAACGCTTAAAAATAGGTGACAGTAAACTGCTGAGATAAAAAAAACACATGTGCCCCGTGTGAGGATCGAACTCACGACCTTCAGATTATGAGACTGACGCGCTACCTACTGCGCTAACGAGGCAGCTCTGCTTCCTGCTATCCTACAGCCATCCCCAGCTATATTAGTAGCCATTCCTGTGTGTTTCTCTTGATGTCTATAGTGTACATGCTCTCTGAAATCAACTATTCTGTTTTCTGTGATCCACTAACATTCCTCATCTGCTGCCTACATATTAATGCTCCCAACCCCTTAGTCCAGTGGGTGAGGTGCAAATAGAGCCATAAAAAAATGTATGGCTCCAATCGCACCGCACACAAATCGCATGTGATTTTCACGGGAATGCGGTGCGGTTCCTGTGCGAATCACATGTGATTGTACCGCACCGCATTTATGTGAACTGCGGGTGTGTATGTTAACAACACTCTGAAATCAGTCCGGTGCGATGTGCAGAATCGGATCACATAGGTGTGAATACCCATTTGATCCGATTCTAGTGCGGACCAAAAAAAGAGTCCGTCACATTTTTGGTGCGGGTGCGGTTAGAGCCATACAAAATGTATGGCTCCAATTGCACCGCACACAAATCACATTTGATTCGCACAGGAATGTGGTGTGGTTGCTATGCGAATCACATGCGATATACCGCACCACATGTATGTGAACCCGGGCTTAACTCTTTCACCACTAGCAGAACATCTTTGTCTGTTAACCGTGTCTCAGTCTAACAAACTACGTGCCATCTCCTAGGCACAGGGGCGGACTGACAACTCATGGGGCCCCCAGGCAATAGGGGATCATGGGGCCCCTGTGTCCTTGCCCAAACTCAAAAAAGCCTATGAAAAAGGTCCCAGGGGCATCTCATGGGGCCCCCTACTGACCCCGGGCCCTCGGGCAGTGCCTGAGTTTCCAAATGGTCAGTCCGCCCCTGCCTAGGCATCCTCAAAGGTACCTGCGAGTCCAGCTTTCCATAGCCGATGCTGCCGATGGAAGTCATCTATCATAAACGATTTCACAAACATTTTAAGGTCACTTGCACATGGACACCTAAAAAATGCCATGTTTGTTGGCATTTGGGCATTTTTTTTATTGATCTAAATGCAGCCTATTGTTTTTAATGAGCTTCTACACACAGGCATGTAAACTTAAAAAAAAAAGTACAGAAATCTGCTGTTGCACAGGATTTTGCTCGCATACGCACAAATAGGCGCATATACACTCACCGGCCGCTTTATTAGGTACACCTGTTCAATTGCTTAGTAACACAAATTGCTATTCAGCCAATCACATGGCAGCAACTCAATGCATTTAGGCATCTAGACGTGGTGAAGACAACTTACTGTAGCTCAAGCCAAGTATCAGAAAGGGGATTTAAGTGAATTTGAACATGGCATGGTTGTTGGTGCCAGACGGGCTAGTTTGAGTATTTCAAACACTGCTGATCTACTGGGATTTTCACACACAACCATCGCTAGGGTTTACAGAGAATGGTCTGAAAAAGAGAAAATATCCAATGAGCGGCAGATGTGTGGAGGAAAATGCCTTGATGATATCAGAGGTCAGAGGAGAATGAGCAGACTGGTTCCAGAAGATAGAAAGGCAACAGTAACTCATGTCATTATGGACCAAAATCTCTGAGGAATGTTTCCAACACCTTGGTGAATCTATGCCACGAAGAATGAAGGAAGTTCTGAAGGCAAAATGGGATCCAACCCGATACTAGCAAGGTGTACCTAATAAAGTGGCCGGTGAGTGTACATGTGTACGACACAACCCAAGGAAAGCTAGAAGAATTTTCACACCCATCCTCACGTTTTTTGCCTGGGAATTTTTTTTGCCTGGAATCTGAAATGTTCATATGCAAGTTCTGATTCCTGCTAGGTGCGGCTGCTGGCCCCATTCACTATAATGACTAGTTGCTGGCAGTCGCAGGTATTTGCAGCTGTCGGCACAGCTAGAGATTACCTGTTGGACACACATAACTGCATCCAGAAGAGATCACCGCCGATAATCGCTGGCTGTGCCGAAAGACGTAAAAGCTGCTGCCGCTGGCGACCTGCCATTATACACTCTTCTGCTCAGTGATAGTAGAAACCTTTGTCTTAGGACACACAGCTATTCCCTGAGATATGTTGTTGTCACTTGAATAGGCTACTGTGCCCCGTGACATGCAGGAAACCGAAGATCCCAGTGCGGTGCGATTTCCTGAGCATGCCATTAAGATTTATGGCACCCATCTGCCGCGTCATTCATTACCCTGTGTGGGTGGGTGCAGCTGCAGGAATTTGTGCACCACCCACATAGATATGAATCTAGCCGTAAGAAGAACTTTATTAACCACTTGCCTACCGGACACTTTTACTCCCTTCCTGCCAAGGCCAATTTTCCACCTGGTGTCCTGTACACCCTGACCTTGAATATTGTGTCCACCTGGTGTCCTGTACACCCTGACCTTGAATATTGTGTCCACCTGGTGTCTTGCACACCCTGACCCTGAATATTGTGTCCACCTGGTGTCCTGCACACCCTGACCATTGTGTCCACCTGGTGTCCTGCACACCCTGACCCTGAATATTGTGTCCACCTGGCGTCCTGCACACCCTGACCCTGAATATTGTGTCCACCTGGTGTCCTGCACACCCTGACCATTGTGTCCACCTGGTGTCCTGCACACCCTGACCCTGAATATTGTGTCCACCTGGCGTCCTGCACACCCTGACCCTGAATATTGTGTCCACCTGGCGTCCTGCACACCCTGACCCTGAATATTGTGTCCACCCGGTGTCCTGCACACCCTGACCATTGTGTCCACCCGGTGTCCTGCACATCCTGACCATTGTGTCCACCCGATATCCTGCACACCCTGATCATTGTGTCCACCTGGCGTCCTGCACACCCTGACCATTGTGTCCACCTGGTGTCCTGCGTACCCTGACCATTGTGTCCACCTGATGTCCTGCACACCCTGACCTTTGTGTCCACCTGATGTCCTGCACACCCTGACCTTTGTGTCCACCTGGTGTCCTGCGCACCCTGACCATTGTGTCCACCTGGTGTCCTGCACACCCTGACCCTGAATATTGTGTCCACCTGGAGCCCCACACTCTTTGACCTTTGTGTCCACCCAGTGTCCTGCACACCCTGACTATTGTGTCTACCTGGTGCCCTGCAGACCCTGACCATTGTGTCCATCCGGTGTCCTGCACACCCTGACAATTGTGTCCACCTGTTGTCCTGCACACCCTGACCCTTGTGTCCACCTGGTGTCCTGCACACCCTGACCCTTGTGTCCACAAGGTGTCCTGCACACCCTGACCATTGTGTTTGCTTGGCATTCTGCACACCCTGACTCTGAATATTGTGTCCACCTGGAGCCCCACACACCCTGACCTTTGTGTCCACCCAGTGTCCTGCACACCCCGACCTTTGTGTCCACCCAGTGTCCTGCACACCCTGACCTTTGTGTCCACCCAGTGTCCTGCACATCCTGACTATTGTGTCCACCTGGTGTCCTGCACACCCTGACCATTGTGTTCGCTTGGCATCGCGGCCACCCTGACCCTGACTATTGTGTCAACATGATGCCCTGCATACTGGAACACAGTAAAATGCATCAAAAACGCACCGTAATACACTGGAACACACCAAAAATGCACTGGAATGCATATGTCCCTGTTTAAATTGAAGAAAAAGAGAGGAGAAAAATGAACTGGAATGCATAAAACATGCACTGGAACGCTCCAAAAACACACTGGAATGCATATGTCCCTATTTAAATTGAAGAAAAAGAGAGGGGAAAAAATAACTGGAATGCATCAAAAACGCACCGGAATGAGCCAAAAACGCACATGCAAAAAACGCATCCGGAACACATCTGGACTGTATTTCTATAGTGTGAACTGGCCCTTAGAGGCTCACACAGGGGGTGAAGAGGCGACATATACCCTGCTCCCTGCTTGTCATAAGAGTTCTGAAGAGAGAATCAATGCAGATTGCTCTTTCGGGGTCAAGACAAGTGTAGGCGTGCCCTTAGTACATTCAAGGTAAACCTTTGTTTGCAGGATCTTGGGATTATCGTGTATGAAGTTGCATGTACTGTGTTTGATCATTTTTGCATATTTAACAAAACAAATGCCAGATCCAGCATTGACAATAGGCACAACAGCATGGCCAGTGTCCTCTTTCCCAGCATTCTAGTGAGCTAGGTTGGACGTTGTACAAGTCACAGAGGCAGTGCAGGGCATATTGAGGTTCAGTTCAAACTACATACGTTTCCGTTTTTTTTTTTCTGAATCCAAAACGCACAGAAAGTAGGTTACATGGTTGTCAATGCCATTGTTCACATCAGTGCTTGCACTTCCAGTGCGTTCCGGATGCAGAAAAAAAGTAGAACAGGCTGCATTTTTTCTGTAAAGAACTGTACCGGAACGCGGTAAAACGCATCAAAAACGCACCGGAACGCACATGTCCTTATTTAAATTGAAGAAAAAGAGAGGGGACAAAATGAACTGGAATGCAGAAAAAACGAACTGGAATGTGTCAAAAACACTTCAAAAATGCACCGGAACGAGCCAAAAACGCATGCCGGACTGCGTTTCTAGAGAGTGAACCAGCCCTGAAGGATGGCTGACTTCTATCGAAATAGTCTATCATAAAGCACAGCAAAGTTTGAGAAAAGATCTACACGCCCGAACAGGGACTTGAACCCTGGACCCTCAGATTAAAAGTCTGATGCTCTACCGACTGAGCTATCCGGGCGCTCTGTGTGAGAACGAAACTACACATGTGAAATGGGAGACTCATACTACCATGAAACTTTCCCTTCCTATGACATGAGTTGTGTACAGTTTATACACTCACAGAGGTAACAGCTGGACTTCTGATAGGTCACTATGAGCTGCAACTTCAAAATCATTAACATTTAATAAACAAAAAAGAAACAACCATCTGCATGTTTCTTAGGCTATAATGCCACAAATATCACTACAATTGATACCTTTTATTACACTTTTATTGTTACTTTATATTTTTATTGTATGATTCTGTACAGAGCACTGAACTAGGGAAAAAATCAAGTCAAAGTCTACCAAATGGGAAAAAGAAATCTTTCACTGTTGTATTACTTTACTCCCGTATGAAATATATCTGTCCTATTCACAGAAGATGGGAAAATGGCGGTTTTGAAAGTCATGCTCCAAATTTGCGCAGCAGTCTAAGGCTCCATGCACACGGGGCGATTAATAACACTGGTAAAGTTAGATGTGTAAAGTCACGTTAAAAAGGCATGTTTTTTGCGTTTTTGCAGTGTTTTTCCACATTTGCGTTTTTAGCGTTATTTTTTACCAAAAATAATAATTTTTTTAGCTCAAAGAAAGTCCAAAAACGCTGGTTTGCCGCGTTTTTCAGCGTTAGAGCATTTTTACAGCTAAAAACCTCCTCTAGAAACCACTAATTCTGGGATTTTTTATGGGTTTTTTTTTTGTAGCCAAAAAACGCCCCTGCCAAAAAAATGCTAAGACTACGTCCTCATGCACACGGGACGTTTTTACAGCGGCTGTTTTTGGCTTTCGGCGTTTTTTTTCTACAGCCAGTAAACCCCTCAGCATGTTATTCTATGTGTCCATGCACACATAGACTGCAATCAGCGTTTTTTGGCTGGGGCATTCTTTGGATGGAAGAAAACACAAACCTAGTGGGTTTCTAGGGGAGTTTTTTAGCTGTAAAAATGCTCTAACACTAAAAAAAACGCGGCAAACCAGCGTTTTTTTGGATTTTTGTTGGGAAAAAAATTATTATTTTTGGTAAAAAAAAATGCTAAAAACTGCAAATGTGGAAAAATGCTGCAAGACACTAATGCAAAAACGCTTTAACGCTATAAAACGCGGCAAACCAGCGTTTTTGGATTTTTTTTAGCAAACAAAATATTATTT